CTTTTTTGGGGGGAGGTAATTAAGTTTATTTATTTATTTTTAGATGGAGGTACTGAAGATTGAGGTACTGAGGACCTCATGGATGCTAAGCAAGTGCTCTACAACTGAACTATACCCTCCCCCCAACAAAAATTATTTTTTAAGTAATACATTCATATAGTACAAAATTCAAAAGGAACAAAAAATATGTAGTAAAATTTAATATCCCTTTCTCCTGCTCCCTACCCCTCAGCTACCCAGTTTCCTTCCTTGAGGCACCACTGTTAGCAGTTTCTGTGTAGCTTTCCAGAGATGTTTTAAGTGCATGTCCCCCTGGCCCCTACAATACACAATTTTTTTTACATAAGTGCTAAATACTGTATCAGTCAGAGTCCTGACAGAAGCAGGTGGCACCCATAACATGAGTTATTTGAGTTGAATTTAATGAATGGACTGCTTACAAAAGTATGGGCAGGACAGAGAAGAGCACAAGCGAGAGTGCAGTAACCAGGGCCAGCAAGACGGTGCAGAGTGACGCAGTGCGAGCAGCACAGCCAGCCGGAGCATCCCAGCGGGGAAGCGGGGGCAAAATACCTGTTCCTCGCTCTCCTCCTGCCCTTGTTCTCTTGCTGCAGCGCCCCAAGGGCTGAACCCAACCTGAGCCAGAGGGCAAGAGAATCTGCTGATGTAGTTTACAGAGATCACTCTCTGGTAGAGAGTGGGGCCAGAGCTGGGGGGGATGGGTAAGGAGGGCGAGTGGTGGTGCGATACCAGCACATGCACCGAGCCCCTCTATCCGCACTTAACAGTCTGTCTGTACATATAGCCTCATTCTTTCTGCTGATCTAGAGCATTCTACAGTATTTCTGTTCCGGAACACTATGCCATATATATAATATATATAGTTATACATACCATATATAATATATAATAATATATACCATGTAAATATATATACATGGTATATATAAATTTAATATATAAATGTACACGTATATAAATATATAGGCATATATAAAATTATATATATAATTTAATTTATTTATATACCTCTATCTATATATAACTAATCCTTCACTGATGGGCTTTGAAAATTGTTTCCAATCTTCTGCAAACAATGCTGCAAGGTATAGCCTTTTACTTAGTCATTTCACATGGCAAGGATATGTACTGAATAAACTCTAGAGAAGAGATTGCTGGATCAAAGAGTGTATGCTTTTTAAATTTTGATAGATGCTGCCACATCACCCTGCACAGCGTTTGTGTTTATTTACACAAATACCAGCAATGTATGCGATTCCTGTGCAGTGTCAGAACATCTGGGTTACAAAGATGTGAGTAAACTTATTAGAGCATCTTTCTAGCCATGTCTGTACCTGCACAAAATGCAAATTTCTCTCTTTTTTTTTGAAATTATGAAAATACACATTTTTCTCCTTGTTTTCTGTCACTCCTTTCAGATTTGTTTAGCAAAGATAAAATTCCTCCTCTCCTGAATGGAATTCTGCTCTTTCTTTAGGAACAATTTTGTGTCATTGTAAGTTGCAAATAGCAGCCTCAAGTTTCCAGTTTATCTTCTGGGAATGAACAAACCATATATATATATGTGTGTGTGTGTGTGTGTGTGTGTATATATATATGTGTGTGTATATATATGTGTGTGTATGTGTGTGTGTATGACATCTAGGAGACAGTTAGGAAAACTCTATGCATGTCAGGCATCAGGGGACTCCAAAGAATCACCATTAATCCCAGTAGGTGTGACAGCATTGCTGTGGTGTACAAGAAAATGCTCCTGTTCTCTGAAGAAGCAGTCTTTTTAAGTATCCAGAAATATGAAATCCCAGATGTCTGCAGTCTACCCCAAAACACCTTAGGAAAAAAAGTGAAGCAAATATAGAAATATTAACAATCATTAAGTCTAGATGATGGATCTTCTTATAGGCGCAAACACCCTCATAATATAAAAACTTTAATGTCCAAGCAAGATAATAATCAACACTTCATATTTTATTCATAGGTAAGAAGACTTTTCCTTCTCCTTCCCTTCCCTTCTTCCCCTCCTCCTCTTCCCCTCCTCCTCATCCCCTCCTCCTCTTCCCCTCCTCCTCTTCTGGCTTCTGTTCCTCTGTTCCCCACCCCTGGCTGGATCCACTTGTCTACAATACACCAATAGTCGGAGCCTCTTCTCTCCCCACGTGGTCTTCTTGGGAGACGGCTCCAGCCTGGCTTCTCTTCTGCTGAGCGGCAAACACTTGTTCCATGGAAAACCCTCAACCCTCCAACAAACCCTGGAAATACAGGTCCTCTGTCCTGTGGTCACAGGAAGCGCCACCTTTCTCAGGCCAGAGTTAGGCAGGAGTTTAGGATCCCCTCCACCTGTAGAGAATGTGCACCAGGCTCTCCTGTGTGCCCTGGAAGCCCCCTCTCAGTATGAGGTCTATGTTGGAAAGTAGCTTTCTGTCCTCTCCCTGGAGATGGGGGCATGAGAAAATATCAGCGTTCTCCAAAGAAATCTCTTACATTCTCCCAATATATCTCTTGGATAATACACTTCCCCCCCCACTGTGATATCTAAGTATTATTAAACATTTACTTTTCATTATATACATTCAGCGTTTTGTCTGTATTTACACAGTAGCATTTACTACATTGAGCACTATTTATTTAAAATTGTTCCAGGAGAAGGTTATTTTATTATCTATTGCTCCAGTGGCTTAAGAAAGCAAACATTTAATATTTCATCCAGTTTCTGAGGATCAGGAATCTAGGACTGGCTTAGCTGCGTGGCTCAGGATCTCGCATGCGGTTGTAGTGGAGAAGCTGGCCAGGACAGCAGTCATCTGAAGGCTCAGCTGGGGCTGGCGGATCCACTTCCTGACGGCTGGCTTACTGTGGCTGAGCCTCAGTTTCTCACCAAGTAGCCTTCTCCATAGGGCTATTCAGGACAGGCAACTGGCTTTCCCTTGAGTGAGTGATCTGAGGGAGCAAGGGAGAAGCCACGATCTTGGTCCTTTATGGCCGAGGCTCGGAAGTGGCATGCCATGGCTCCTGCCATATGCTATGGTGACACTGATCAACCATGGCACATATGGAAGGGGATGTGGTGTGATACCAAGAGGCAGGGACCATCTTGGAGGCTGGCCACCCCACCTATTGACGTCATTCTGCATGTGCATTATGATCAGTGTAAGTTGTGTCTCATAGACTCATGACCCACGGAGTTGTATTCTGTGCGGGAGAATCCCTCCAAGGTTTCCGATGCAGCACTTGGCCACTGGGTACGGGTACTGAGGGAAGTCTGCCTCCCTGTGGTCACAGTGATAACAACACCGGCACTGTCCTTGCAGTGAGTCTGGGCTGGAGGATAAATCTTCCAGACAGACCTTGTTCTGTGTTCCTAATTTCCTTCAGTAGTTCCCAGTGCTCTTTCATGCCCTTGCCATAGAACCTGTTATAAAAAGAAGGTCCTAAGTGGCCTGGTGTGCCCAGACAAGACTGAATCCTAGCAGGGATTAGGCTCAAGCAGGTTCTTCTAGCTGCTCCCTGTCAACCCCCAGTACACAAAGAAGGAGCTCTGTCTGCGGAGACCAGGGCAAGAAATGGGGACAAGGCAGGAGTGGAGTTGTGCTTGGGTTGAGATTTAAGACATCCATCTTCCTGTCACTTCCTAACAGAGGGCAGCTTCTGTGGAGCAGAAGGGAAGACACCAAAAACAAAGATACAGCAGATACACACTCCCCTCTACAGAGAACCTTAAAGGAATCTGTGAATTCAGTGGTCCTGCCACATCATGGACCTGATTCCCCGGGAGAAGGAAGAGGAGAGAGAAAGTGAAATGTCTTCTGGAGTCTGGGGAGAAACTGTCTACTTGGCACTTACGCTTAAATAAATTATGTTTAGGTTTGCACGTAGTTTCTTGTTATTTTGGTTTGGGCAAGTTAGTTTCTCTGGAGGTGAAAATAAAATGAGTTTCTGGACCATCAAGGCTGAGAACTAGGACCTGGGCTGAGGTGACCCCTGAGGTAGTGCCCCCTGGGTTGGCAATACTGTGCAAGAGCGGGTCTCTATCTTAGTGATCAGTAACAGCAGCTGTTTACCAAAGGCTTAACATGTCCAGGCACTGCCATCTAATTTAGGCTTCCCCCACACTCAGAGAGGTGGCATCAATGTCTTTATTCCATGGGTGAAGAAACAGGCCTGGAGAGGATAAACAACTTGCTAAGTTATTCCTGAAACTCAAGAGGAAGTTCATACTAAGACAAGACAAAGCTCACGTCCTCACCACCGTGCTGAATTGTCTCCCACGCTGCTGGGCATGGATGTTTATCAGTGCTTGTCAATTTCCTTGCAGGCTGTCGTCAATTGTCCACCCTCAGCAACTCGTTTCATGTTGCTACACTCTGGTCAGAAAAGAAAGCTCAGTGGTAGAGCGCATGCTTGGCATGTATGAG